TATCAACGGATTGCACCACTGTGTCATCAGCTGTTGACTTCACCAACGGCTGGCGCTGCCACATCGGCACCGAAAGTCATTGTCGTATCTTGGCTTGATCCCGAGTTCATTGTGGTCGTAGTAGATCAAGTAGTCGTTGCTGTAGAAAGGCAGAGCCGCGTACGGCTGATAACCTGCGTGGGGGATTGATCTCGACTAGGTTGCTGCTCTCCCCACCAGAGCTGTAATGAATGTAGGTGTGGCTGGCTTGCACTCTCCACAGACTGGACCCTGTCTCTCTCACACTTCCACACGTGCAATCCTATGCAGGCAGAACCGGCGGCCGTTCCTTTTGCACTCACTGCCGGCGGCGGTTCGTCTGTGCAACGGGATAGCTCTGATTGCTCAGGATAGAAGACACTTATAGCACTTAGCTATGGGCATTGACTTGAGCCAAACGTTGCGTGGGCGGTCACATAGAAAGGTAAAGATGAGGGACGCGTAGCGTGCCCCCTTAGAGTCGAGGGACGCGTAGCGTGCCCCCTTCTCTTGCACTTTACACGGTCTTGTTCACAGCTCTTATAGTGACACCTTAGAACTTGACAAGGCATCGCAGTCCGTTCGCACTCCAAGTATAGGTTTATAGGACCCTGGTAACTGCAACCTTGGCAGACAAGACAGCTACCAGCTATAACTCCAACTCCTCCAGCACTGCATCTTACCCCTAAGACCTCAAAGAGAATTACTTGGAGGGTCGGGGGACTTAGTAAGTAGGTAGCAAGTAGACTTACAAGTACCCTCAAAGGGACCCTAATTGGGGTTATGGTACCTATAAGTCCCTAAAATAACTACTTACTAAGTCCCCCGGCCCTCCAAGTACTCTCACAACTGAACCATTAAGCTTCTGAGATGCAGAAAGCAAACACTCCAAACTCCAATAATCGGATTCAGCCCGAAAACAAAAGAACCCGACACCCGTAGTCCTACTACGCCTTGAGCCCTAAACCTTGGCATCCCAAGCCCTAAAACCCTCCAGTAGGCTCAGAATACCCCCTATATACAGGAACCGCATAGACTCCCTTAAAGTATAGTACTCTTGAGAAAACCCTAAAGAACCCCAATAGACTAGCCTTGAACTCACGTCGCATGCGCTCGCAGTAGACCTCCCACTACACGGTGACTGAAGGAGTGAGAGAGTGGTTTTAAATGGGGTTTAGGGTGTAGGGCCGGAGCAGGGGCTACATAAAACCTAACTATCGTCAGAGTCACCTTTGACTTATTCGATGCTCCATGACTCTATACACTTATTTAAAAAAGCAGAAGGGTTTGGAGTCTAGAGTTTGTAGGTTTAGATTAGCGACCCACGGCTCTCATCGGAAGCCCCTACACCCGGGTCAGTCGATAATGCGTGCTTTCAAGGCTTAGAGGCTTAGAGTAGAAGCCAGAAAGTTGGAATATCATTATCGTAACCCCTTTAAGGTAAATTATAGGGGATCCTACCATTAATCCATATTCCAGGTTTCTGGGGTTCCCTTTACAGTCGTGGCTGAAGTTCTTGTGGCTGTCGCCTCGTGTTCTCTGGGGTTCGGTTGCGTGGAGGGGTTTAGGGTGTAGGCTCCAAGATTTCACTCTGGGAGTGGGGGCTCAAGTATGAAGAGTGCACATTTGGGTTTGGTTTAGGGTCGGTGAAGACTTACTTGGAGAGTCGGGGGGACTTAGTAAGTAGATAAGTAGACTTATAAGTACCCTAAAAGGGACCCTCATTGGGGTTATGGTACATATAAGTCCCTAAAATAACTACTTACTAAGTCCCCCAAGGGTTCGGGATTTGGTGTTTAGGGCTTTAGGAGTTCTTCCGGGAGTTGCGACATCTGAAACAGAGACTCTTTTGCATCTTTCATAATGTTTTCGGAACGGCTTTTGGGAGCTTTGTTAACTAACTCCGTCCTACTCCAACAACTGCAGCTTGCTTGTGGAATCCCTCCATCCTTGAGCCACCAAACTGCCCTAACCAGGATGGCCTTAAGCTACATTCCGAAACCGCAAACCTCATGCCAAAGACCTCACACTCCAAGCCCGAGCAATCTATACCCGTACTATCCTCTCCTGCTGCACCGGAACCACAATCAAAACCATACACAACCCCAGGTACATGGACCCAGAGAGCCTTACGATCATATACCAACCTTCAGTGACTTACTACCATCCTAAAGCCGTAAACCCCTAAACCCTTTAAACCCTAAGCCTCAAACAATAGACCCCAAACCCTAAACGGCGAGTTCTCAGGCATTTTGCCTCCAAGTGGAGCTCTCCCATGCCAGAGATGATGGTCTCATTCCTTGACTTCCGAGCTTTCCGTTTACGGTTGCTATTGGGCCCACTATGGCGGCTTTTTGATGGGGGTTTGGAGTTCCTATGGCCCCGTAAGATATTTTTATCAAGATACTCATCCCTAAACCTTGGGGCCGTAAAGGAGCAGAAGAGGCGCCCTTAACGGGCTCTATGCGCTAGGTTCATGTGCAGCCCCTTAATTATCAGAGGGTACCAATGTTCCTACTATTTGGTTTTAATAAGAGAACACAAAAAGACGAAGAGCAAGAAGGTGCTATATGCTGGGGAACCTAGTATGGCTATGATGGTGCTTCCGTGACTCTTGGGGTGTAGGGGCCATGGACAATAGCAGCGGTCCTGGCTTTAGGGTTTGGGGGGTAAGGGCGATAATGGCATCGACCCCCCATCCCCGCCAAAAGCAAATGCGCTAAGTTCCGTTAGGGTTTAGGACCCCTTTGGGCGTGGAGTTTAGTGTGCCTAGAAGGGCTGCCACGGCTTTGCAAGCATTCCAGGTTTAATTCAGCTTGCAGCTGAAAGTTTGGATTTTCGAGGTAGATGATATAGCACAACCCCTGTGATTATGATACTGGGCTGTGGGAGCACCGGCCAACCCACACAGCTCAAAAACCCTGGACCCCGGACCAAATCTTCCTTGAGATCTAGGATACTTGTAATGCAAGCTATCGAAGGGCTCTATATTACTAATCAAGAGCTATCCCTTTCAGCCTAGACCCCATGTAAAAATGTAAAACCCCGAATCTGAGACAAAATTCTCTTGAGCCCTAGACTCTAAACCCTATAAGCCCTAAAACCCCCAACACCCTGGCTCTAAACCCTAAACCCTCTTGCCCCAACTCCGAAGCCTAAGCCCTAGGCCCCTACCAAAACGCCCAAAACCCCTCACCCCAAACCCTAAACCCCAACTCCGAAGCCGCGGCCCTACCCCAAAAGTATGCAGAATAGTAGCCTTTTATAGGATTTGGGCCATTATTCTACCTACCTTTGGGGGTCTAGGTAGAGAGAACTGAGGGTCTGGCGTGTCCTGCTTCTGCTCGACGCGGAAGGTGGGATCCTCGCCTGAAGATCTGTAGGATTTCGGTTTAGGGTTTAGGGTTTGAGGGTTTGAAGGTTTAAGGGTTTAAGGATTTAAGGTTTTACGGATACTCGTCTAGCGGTTTTAGGGTGTAGGGTTTTAGGGTTTAGGGCTGAGGATTAGGGCTGTGGTAATGGGCTACTATACTGCGGCGTACTACAAGTGCTGTAGTACAGGTTTTAGGGCTTACGGGCCCCGCTTTCGAGGATTGGGGGTTCAGGTTTTTGTTTTGCAGATGTAGGGCTAAGGGGTAGGATTTGCTCGAGCACCCAGATCTCAGAGTCTTCAGGTCATATACAAAACAAATAATAGGGAGCCCCAAATTAAACGGTTTGTTGTTTACGGTGCAGGTAGGGGCTTAAGGGGTTTCGCGCTTCAGGGGGGTTTAGGGTTTAGTCGGGGGCCTTCCCAGGCAAGGAAGTCTCGGGGACTAGGGTTTAGGGTTCGGGCTACACGGTTTTGGGTTCAGGGTCTAGGGTTTAGGGTTCAGGAGGGTTTGGGGTACTTGCGATTACCAGGAGCTATAAAGGGCTCATACGGCTGATGATACAAATCCTGCATTACCCCTAAGAAAAGGAATATACCATAACTCCCATAGTCTAGGGTCATTAGAGCAATGCAGGATTCATATCATCAACCAGGGTAACCACATTTCTTCGGCTAAGGACCTTGCTTAATCTTTCTAGACGAAACTCGCAGGCGGCAGCATGAGCAAAGCATAGGCCCGAAACCCAAAACTCTAAACCCGGCGGCTTCGCAGGGTGTTGGTACCCGGCGACATGCCGCGGAGATCTCATCCATCCGCTTGGATGAGCCGCCCTTGTTGGCGCACGAGCTCGGTCAACGCGGCTAGTTGTTTAGCCTGGGCACTAACCGACGATGATAATGAAGGTTCACGGGCAGGCCGACCTTGTCGGCTACAACTCCCACTCCCATCAGTGAGTGGTGAGGTTGGGATGTCTGGCCACATCGGGTTTGAGGACCATCCCAAAAGCTGGCGTCAGGCATCTTAACCGAAGCCTAGGACTAGAACCAGAACCAGTAACCAGGCAGCCTGTCCAAGCGATAGAGTTAGAGAGAAAGTGCGTGAAGCGAGCGAACGAGAGAGAGTGTGACCGGGAGAGCGAGGCGAGAAGAGGGCGGGAGGGAGGGAGAGAGAGAGAGAGAGGGACGCTAAGCGCGAGGAAGAGAGAAACGGGGAGAGCCAGAAGCAGAAGCCGGGACCCCCGCGCTGGAAGCGTCGCAGCGCCTGCTCAGGCTGCGTTTTGCTGCAGGGATCCTGAAGGCCTACAAGGTTGCGTCGGGATGATGTAGGGCTGTATTGGTCATTTCTACTGCCTGGGGGTTGGGGTTTGGAGGTCTTGTTAATCGAACCTCAACCCACAACTCTGCTTATCCACAGCGAAAAGGACCTAAGATGAGCCTGTCGAACCTCAGAGCAAGGTTCAACAAACGTACCTCAGCACGGCCATCCCGGAACACCAGCAACTTACATCCCGAAAGCATGACCCTAGTTTTGCGGGCCTTGAGACTCAGAATTGGTGTCGGGGTATGTTCGCGTAAACTCACAGCGATACTATCAGGGGATATTGGGATGCTAGTCATTGCTCGGCTCTTGGACCTCTGACACGAAGTTCAACCCACCGATTCTTGCAGCACCCTGCATGGCAACATGCTGAACCAGAGCAGAGCCTTCTGAAACCGGGCTTGATCGTCGCGCGATGCAGTCACAGACAACGACATCACCTGGAAGCAGGTGGAAATTTTGGATACCTCAACCCACCCACCGTGCAATCGACAGAGCTGGATTTGCAACCCGAGCATAAATCCACTGATATAGTATCTGGGTTAGGCCTGGATAATATGCGTTGTGGGAAAGCTGTGAATAAATTGAACCTCTAAGTAACCTAGCCACACCGGAGTGATTGCAGGGATTAGAGCCTGAGGGTTTCGGATGTCATAGGTCTTCACAGTTTAGGGTTTAGCGTTTAGGGCTTAGGGTTTCCTGGACCCATAACGAGTCTCACTAATAGCCTGAAGATGCAGGATTTAGGCTCTACAGGTTTCGAAAAAACTGATAATCCGTAAAGGATCCCTCTAACTCTAACCCTGAACCTTAAGGCATTAACACCAACATGTTTCTATGTACAAGGAGGTTTGGCTTAGGCTTTGAGCTGTAATTATTTGCAACATCCAGCAAGTTCCTTGCGGGTACCTTCATGTGGCGTGGGCTTTTTGCTAGAGTTTATAGGGTTTGGGGATGAATTGGTAGGTCTCGTCTCTTCATGGCAATCCCCGAAGTAATTAAGCACTCACGAATTGTCTAAGGCTGAGGGTTCTCTAAATACATGAACCTAAACCCACAAGACAAAGCAAACAATCCACTTCAATATCCTGGCACCGGCAAAACCAGCTCCCAAAGCCCCATGGCCCTAAAAACCCAGAAAACCTGCAGCAAACATAGATGTCAACCCCCTCCCGCTAAAGCACAAGCCCCAAAACCTGCGATAAACTTCCCGAGCCCTACAAATGTAAATCCGAAGTCTGAACCCTACATCCAACAAGGCGAGGGTCAGAGTCGGGAACGAACATGGAGCTACACCTTGACCGCGGCTGATGGCTCGCGTCAAGGGCTTAGGGCTCAAGGTTTTCAGCTTCGCGATTGACCGCCGGACTTCCTCTAGAAACGTTTAGTCAGTTTAGTCTTTCGGGACGTTCAGGCTTTTAGGGGGGTTATACTTACTCCCCCCATAAACCACAGAAATGAAAGGTTAAACTTTCCGATTCCTACTAAACTATAAGAACCCGAAAAGTTTAAAGGTTGCAGGTTTTGGGGATTTAAGGGTAAATCCCGGAAAGCAACCCTCATAGAACCCTTTAAAGGAACCCTGTAAGCCCCGATAGAACCTAAGGATCTAAGAAGAGTCTCTAGTGCCCTAAACTCCAAACCCTAAACTCTAAACCGTTTTGTGTGGGGTCATTTGGACGAAGGGCGTTGAGGCACTGAAGCTTCGGGTCCTGTGAGGATTTCGGTGCTTTAGGATTTAGGGGTTTAGGGGTTTAGAGTTAGGGTTTAGGAGCTTAGGGGTTAGGGGTTTAGGTTTTATGAGAGTTTAGGAGTTTAATGACCTGAAAATTCCAAGTGTACAAACAGTACTTACTTTGGGGTCTAAAGTCTTGGAATAGTACCTACTTTGGGGCTGTGTGGAGCCTTAGGGTGACTAGCGGATTTCAACATACACCCTGATTTGGTAACATTTTGGGGCTCATATTTTCGGATTTCAGGTCTGAGCCCTCATCGAACCCAGGTTGTAGGATCACAAAAAGAACCTACTTTGAATAAAACGTCATGTAACCCTGAAGAGGATCACCTCAAAATCGAATCCCTGAGAAGGCACCGGAGCCTGAATTCCAAATCCAAGTCGCATAGAACCCTGCTGAACCTTGCAGAAACCCTGCAAAAAGCTGACAAGACCTTGGCAAAGCTCTGGCAAAGCCGTACAAAACCTTACCAAACAAACCCTCGTCCAACCTTTCAAAACCCTACAGCCCCCAAAATCAGCTGAACCCCAAGAAGTCTAAGACAGAACCTCCAGTATTGTATAGTATGTTATGGTATACAATTCTAGTAGGCACATTGGTAGATATGTTATAGCATATTGATGGATGCACATTACTAGACTATAGTCGACGTAACGGAAGGATTCCGAGGATCTAAGTCTCCGCGCGTGACTTTCGCCTTGCCATCGGTGAAAGTCACCTGGGTCTTTGATGCTCCGCAGGGTCCTCCTAAGAAGGGCTATTTTAAGGTTCAGGGTTTAGGGTTTACGGTTTAGGATGGTTTAGAGCATATAGGGTTTGGGCTCTAAACCCTAAACAATAAACCCAAAACCGTAAACCCTAAACCCAAAACCGTAAACCCTAAACCAGAAAGGTTCCCTTTAAGGCTTAAGGGTTTCACGTTCATGAGGCTAAAGTTTCGAGCTGCGGGCTTCCAGGGGATCCTTAGTAAGGACCCCCAAGTATATACCGTTAATATAGCTATTATATACCCATTATATAGCCCATTCTAGGGTAAGGGTCCCCATTAAAGGGTCCCTCGATGGGGTCTTCATGGGTTAGGGACCATACCTAGACCCTCCATCTACCCTCTATTTGAGGGTGCCAGGAGGGTCCTCGCAGTTATTTTTTCGGGTTTATACAGGGAATACAATTTGTTGTCTACGCGCCGTAGGACGGTTTTCAGAGGCTTATTACGAGGTTTCTACAACGTTTGCCTTTCCTCTGCTGGGCTCGGTACTGTGGCACCTCTTAGGAGAGGTTACGGCTGTACCTATGCTCTCCATTGGTCCGTTGTAGTTATACTTTTCTGGCTAAAATTTTTTTAGGGCAAGGATCCCGTAATATGAATTTGGTTAACCAAAACAAGGAACTTAAGGGCTCGGTTTCGCTTGGGCCCGCAACCTCACCGATGAACCGCACCACGAAAGTGCACTGGCGCTTCGCGTTCTGTTGCTGGAGCTTGCTGGACTTCCGAGCTGCTGTGAGGGATGCTCTTCCTGGCATCGCGCACACCTTCTTCCAACTGCCCCGCTGTTCAAATTAGAGTCATAGGCATGTGCAGTGGGAGCGCTGCGGACCACGGCAAAGAGCACAAGCTCCTGCGATGCCATCTCACAGCGCAAAACCTCTGGCCCGGGGGGTTTGGGTTTCGGTATCGGTGGTTTATATACGTCCTCCAGGCCGAAGGAAGGGTGCAACACCTCACCCCCCCCTTCCCCCACCCACCGGCATAGCGGTCCTTAAGCCTAAAGCTCGCCTGAAACAACCCGAGTAGAGCTATACAGGGTTTAGGTTTTTGTAGCTTGAGGACTTCGGGTTCAAGCCGTCTGAACGCTAACCTCAAAGCCAAGACGCCAAAACACGCCCGTGACCCCACGCTCCAAGATCACAGCAACACAAATATCCACATAACGATGAAACTCTACACCGGGTATTCTGTCAACTCCGAAACCCCGACTCCCGCAGAACCCCGCTCCCCCGACAACAAAAACAGACACACCAAAACATTAACACTTTGAGGAGCCATGAACCTTTTCAGCCTCCCCCATAACGCCCAGAAACACCATCAGGCCGGGTTGCTCCAGATTCGCACTCCATGCCTGCCAACGCCACGATATCACCGGCTGAGGCCTGCGTTGCAGGAGTTGTGGGACTTTCATTCAAAGGTGCAGGGTTTACCTGGGGGAACGGCTAGCTGCTTTGATGCAGATTGGCGCAGCAATTACTCTCAAATCAAGTTGGATTGCAGTCCCCTGAATTTGTGTTACTATCACCGGCGTCCGGTGGATGTCCTCATCCGAGGTCTTATCCCGGCCGAGCATCTTGCGAAAAGCCGCACTCAATGTGCCTTAACTTCTCAATCGCCTGCAAACGACATGATTTGACCCCTTCAGGAGCGGGCGTGGTGCACTCCTATAAAGACTTATATACATACAGTATAGAATAAGCAGCTCTTTCAAAAACGGGGTTCTGGGTTCGAAGACGCACTTGCACCAGAAACTGGGGCTTATGTTTGCGACATTCGGGACTGATGTTTTTTGCTACCATATGTAGACAGTCTAGTTTGAACCATGGGCTCCTTGTAGGGTTTAGGACCAGTTTAGGATTACCAGGTGTGGTGTTTTATGCTGCTGAGGCTTCTACGTCTGCGTCAAACTGCCGGTCGTCTTTACGGCTTCTGCTTTCAGAAAAAATGGCGGCGAGCCGGTTGTGCTCTGCAAGCATGCACGGGATGGGTTATGCAATACCACCCCCATATAAACCATAATTTAGTACTTTCGTGGGCTTTGTCTGAACAAAGAAGAAGATAGTTCCTGAGGAGACTATAGTACGCTCTCCGATGAGTCCACTTCCCCCCAGCGCTATGCTCCCCTTCTTTTATCGGCCCCCACTCTTGTCATTTGAGGTTCTAAGTCGACAAATAAACATGAGATCCGGAAATGAGCGTCGGCATCTCCGTTATCGAACCCGGAGGACCTGTACACAAATCTCACATTATTACCTTGGATCATCTTACGTGCTCTCATGCATGAGTGAATGCCTGTCGAACGCCGCGCCTACCCTTCTGGCCCACCTTCATTCCACACCGAAGAAGGCCTAGATGCAAAAACTGAAGATCCCTGAAGTAGAAAAGTGCATAAACCCTGAACTCTAAATCCTCTGCAGTGCCGGATAGAACCCTTATCACAACAGAGGAAGCCTCGCTGACATCCTTCACTTCGTTGGAGTGCATGCGAACCAGGCGCTTCACTGAGAGCCTCTCAAGGGCAAGAAGTGCGCAAACACTGAACACTGCTTCATGCAATATAGGCGCCTAATAACTAGAATAAGGTTTTGGGGATATATTATACGATTAATTATATAGAACAAGGAACCGCATATCCCTCATATACTCCCAGTCGATGTCTTGGTCTGTATCATCCAATGAATACCATTCTGCGAGATCTTGAAATCTTTCCTCCTCAATTTCATGTAAACGACTGCTCAGTGAATTACCCTATATAACTGGATTATAATCGGGATGCTAGTAATTACTCAGGCCATGAACTACCGAGAGGGTGTTTATTTCATCAGGGTTCGTCAATTTAAAACCTAGGTTCTCGAAGTTTCTAGACCTCCTCAGCCCTCGCCCCTGAAACCTAAACGCTGCAATTCCACTGGGTTTTTTGATTAAGAGGTTCAAGCATAGTCAAGGGTGAAGCCCGGGCCCGACAACCTAAAATTAACTACTAATTGAGCTTCCTGTGCCATATCGGAATGAGCTCGCATGACTCGCCCGGAGCTGGAGCCCAGCAAAGCCAACACCTCAACCGTCAACCCTATTCGACCTGATCGCCGGGAGATCCGAAAGCCTTTAGGATACCTCAGGTAGGATCTACCGGCAGCTAGGTTACTCGGTGACCTCACCAAAATCACGCTGTCGTTGTCTTACAAACTTAAGTGCGCACAGCTGAACCAACACGGAACACTGGGGAGCCTAGATAGTTAGAGGGCGTTTATCGTTTGGACTTTCGGGGTTGGGGTTTATGGACTGTGGAACCATGTGCGAAGCTTCCAGGCAAGGAATTTCGGCGGTGCCTCTTCTCGTTCATCATGTTCACCTTGCTGGTCGCAGGATTCAGGGCCCCCACCTAAACCCTAAACCCCTAAACCCTAAACCCCTAAACCCCTATACTTCCTCACTTCTGCACACTTGACTGGGGAGCTCTTCGACCGACCCCCTTGGGGCTTTGGGGCACTTCTCGATCGCTGGAGGAGCTCGTTCGACTTTAGGGGGCGCCCTGGAAGGTCTCCGATGCCCTATAATCCCCAAGCCATGGTTTTGGGTGCACCCTAAAATAGGGGCCTTAATAATAAGAATAAGAATAAGAATAAGAATAAGACTAAGACTAAGAATAAGAATAAGAATGAGAGCAAAAATAAAATGATAATATATTCAAAATAGTAGTACTACTACTACTAATAGGGTTTTGGTGCCCAAGGTACTATAACTATACTATAAGGAACCCTCCCAAAACAGTATAGGTAATCAATAAGGTAGCGTTCTTTACGGCTAAGGGGGCTTTCGAGATTTCAGGGTAGACGTCCCCGTGCTTTGGGCATCCAACTAAAGGAACATTGCACGGTTGGATACGGTTGATGATATAAATTTTGCATTATCCATAATAAGGAATATACCACAATTTCCATACTTTAGGGTCCTTAAGGCAATGCAGGATTTAGATCATCAGCCGTAGTTAGAACCTGCTGCCACACGAGGCTGTTGACTCCAGGCTTCCGGTTTATTCAGTCTACCACCTGCCGCACGGGAGCCCCACAACCTTGAACCCTAAACTTGCAACCCCAGGAACGACGTGGGTTCTTGTTGAGGCAAGCTGCATATGCTATTTGCGACATGTGACTACTGTGGCAGCCTCGGCGAACTAAGTTCCCTAACATGAACCCAGTCAACACTTCGGCCCAACTCACACACTGCCCGACGCCACCCAAAGACAGACAGACGAAATCGTAACCCCAAAATCCCAAATCCACACAAGACCGTGGAAGAGCCGATCTTCAAGCGGAACACCCAACCTTCAAGCTCAAAAGAGGGCCTCACGCCTTGCTCCTCCAACCCTAAAACCCCTACAGTAAAACCTCGATCCCTCTTAACTTCGGAAAACCCTAAATGTCTAAATCCTCTGAAACCATTGCAACCTCGAAGTCCTCAACCAAGGCATGCAAGGGGCGATCTGGTCCCCCTTGGAGATCTTGCCTTGATAGACCTGCGAACTCGGTGAACTCAAAAAGGGGGCCTACAACCCCAAAACCCCTTAACCCTAAAATGGTGAAGGCAGTCTATACCCATTCTACACTGATTGGACTGGCAAGTACGAATAAGCAACTATTTCTAGCTCAATGATGACCCTGGCTACTAAGTCTACTAAGTTCTACGACCCTCCAAAAAGTCTAGGTAGTGATAATAGTTTTTGTTGATTCGAGGTCCGTTACTCCTGGAGCGCATGCAGCTTCGTTTTAGCACGTGAGGATGTTCGTGCCTGAGGATTTGAGGTAGAGTTATAGCGTCTGGGGCTAGGTTTGTATGTGTATATGTATATATATATATATATATGCATCAGAGCTTAACCCAATACCATGTGAGTGTTATCAACTGCATAAATTTCGGGATGGATCGCTAATCTTGAAAATGTGCCTACCATCTGAGAATTCTCAGAACTCCTCTACGCAGCCATGAGGTTCAGGGTTCGGGTTCATCGCTGTAAGAGTTCCTAAGCCCCTTTACACCCGCAACACAAAATTTAAACCCTCATGACTGGAATCTGAAATCTGATCTTCAAATCCCCGAAACCAGAACCGCTAAATCTGCAAAGCCCTGCGTGGTTGTTCGCGCAGACATCCCATAGACCAGTGTCGGTCATTGATCCTCCGACGATGCAGTCATCTGCTAAGGTTCGGAGAACCTGAATCGGGAAATCGACGCCGGCATGCAGACTATGCAATACAGCAGTCTCCAGCGCAATCTGGCTGGTCTCAAAGTCCTGCAAATCAGCGACAAGTCAGAAAAGCCCAGAAGGCAGCCAGCCATCTCTTCGGTAGGTAGGCGTGCCAGATAATCAAGAACTCAGTCAAGCTGTCGTTGTTCTTCTTCAATGGCCCTTTGCTCAATATCCAGTCCCGCAGCTTCAAAACCCTAAACCCTAAACCCTAAACCCCCTTTATGAGGGGGTTTCGTATGTACGGGTTTAAATACCTCGAAGCGGCCCTCAGGCCCGTTTAGGGTTTAGGGTTTAGGGTTAATCTTTACTTAATTCTCTAAGTCCCAGTCGCCTTAAGCCCGAAACGCACATGGGAGTTTCCGAAAATAGGGGACCCAAAAACAGTACCCGAAATAGTAGGATCCTGATTGTAAGGACCCCCCCCAAAAAGGTACCCTCTAATTTTCGGAAACCCTAAACCCTTATAGTAGCCCTTTAATGTAACCCGTATAGTACCCTTATAGTAGCCCCTTAAAATCCCGAAAAGGTATCCCCTAATTTTCGGGAACTCCCACATGGAACCTGCCGACCCGAAGCTCGAAGCCCTGAACCCGAACCCTGGATTTAGGATTTTCGGGCTTTGAAGGGCTTCTTGTAATAACTATGACAATGGACCCCCCAAAGGCCATATACTCTGATAACTCAGGCCTCTACATCCGCAACTCCAATAAATCTTGCCGCGGAAGCCTTCCAGCCGCCTTTTCTAAGAATTTGCTAGACAGGAGCCCTATAAACAAACAACAAAAAAAAACCGAAGACTAAGGCCCCTTGAAAGAAAGGCTTTTGAAGCTTAAAGTCTGATCCTTGAGGCCCTGAGGCCCTGGCACGCATGTAGGTCACCTGACCTGCCATGGCATGGTCCTGGCATAACCGAGACTCTTCGAGGTTAGGGCTTACCCCAAGGGTCCAAGTACCCAATAATCATATACTCTCCAAAATCCTGACCTACATAACTACTATCCTAAAACCGAGTACCTAATTATTGGGTCCTTTGAACCCTTGGGGTTACCTTAACCCCGAAAATCCTACCTTTTTGAGGACTTATAAAAGGAACTCATAGTAAGGAATTCTGAAATGGGCTGGTTATTCAGGGATAAGGCAGGGTCTGCGACTAGGGTTACTGACAAGGCTTGTGACTGGGCCAGGTTCTGACAGAGATTCCATGTCTTAGTGCATAAGGACAGTCTGGCTGAAGCCGCTTTTGTGTGTAATGTAGGGGCCTTAGTAGTTCACATGCCGTTTTGGGGGCTCCTTATTATTTTTGTCATCATAGTAAAACATATCCCCAAAGCCCTACTCCAACTTACATTCAAGCCCCTACATTACAGGGCTTAGGCTCAAGGTGATACTTATTAGAGCTTGGGGCTACAAGGTCACGCTTTCGGATCATACCCTGCAGCCCAAGAGGGCCCTGCGGTTGTTGAGTGCATTTCAATCCCTAAGGAACCCTGATCCCTTGATCCAAAAAACCCTCAAACTCTAAACCCTACACCCTCAAGGATCATAAAAACCATGAAGCTTATTTATTGTGTTTAGGGTTTCGAGCTTGGGGACACTGAAGAAACCGAAAGCTGCAACGTTTAGGCTTTATAGGGCCTTCCTAGCCTGGGTGCTGGGACAACATTATAGGCTCCTATACCAGGACCCTCCTTGTACCCTCAAATAGGGGTATATGGTCCCAAATAAGGGGCATTTAGGGTCTAATAGAGGGTAGATGGAGGGTCTAGGTAGTGTTAGTGTACATATACTCATATACGTGGTTCATCGTATCCTGTTCTTGTGCTGAATCATCGCTCTACATGCACGTATGCTCCATATGCAGATTGCGGCGATGATATTACGCCCCAAACCCCGAAACATCAGCTGTTCCCGACCTGGATCTTGAATGCGTAGCCAACCAAAGGCGCCTCCAGATGGGGAGCTTTCCAAACTAGGGTGCCAGTTGTTCTTCCTCTTTTCCAAAGATGGATAGCCCAAATGAGGGAAAGGTGCTTGGATGACCTAGAATCTAGGCCGTGCTAAGGTTTTATATCCGCCTTACAGCGACGCTGCGATGTTTTGGCCTCAGATCTACAAATCCACCCAAAGATCCCACAAAGTAGTTCCTTTTTGGGGTTCATATACAGAATCCTCTAAGGTGATCCCAAAAAGGAACTACTTTGGGGCCTTTAGGTGCCTAAACCCTGGAACCGAGATCGGACAATTAGGATGTGAGGTTGGGAGGTAGCTTTAGGGTTCAGGGTTTAGGGTTTAGGGTTTAGGGCTCAGGGTTCAGGGTTTAGGGTTTAGGGTTCAGGGTTTAGGGTTCAGGGTTCAGGGTTTAGGGTTTAGGGTTTAGGGTTCAGGGTTTAGGGTTTAGGGGATACCCAGTAACCCCAAGAATAAAAAGGCCTCTCTTTTTGGTATTGGGTAACTTTATAAGGAACCTAGGACTACAAAAAAGGGAATAAGGGTACTACTGGGCATCCCAGCTAAGGGTCCATGTACCTGAATAGTATATACATTGGCCTTAAAGTACTCACAATATGGGTCCATTGGGCCCAAAGTATATACTATTTAGGCACATGGACCCTTGGGGTTTTGAGCTTTGGGACAAGGCGTCAGCCTTAAGTTGCGAAACTCTTGTGGCTGTACAAGCCCGAAAGCTTGCAACGAAGCCCTCCCCCTATGTAGATCATTAACGCCCTGAAGAAGAAGGCTTTGTGGAATATAGGGCCTAAATATACATCAATTACTAATACTATTTTGGGCTTCCTTACTATGATTTCAGTATAAATATACCCCCAAAGCCCTATTCTAATCAATAAGGCCGCTATATTAGAGAACCCTATATACCCCTTTTAAGGATCCCTGTAAAGGAACCCTATTCTACATTTGTAGAGTTCGGACTACGGTTCGGATTCAAGCTTGCAGCGCAAAGTCACTCCAGACTTCGGAGTCTGCGTTCAGACCACAGGTCTCGGGACTTTGGGGCTTGGGGTATGAAAGAAAGGTTTTAGGGTTTAGGTTGTAGGCCCCACAGGTCTCATGAATTTGGGGCTGGGGGTTTAGGGTCTAAGGTTTTAGGGCTTCGGGTTTCAAGGTTTCGGGTTTATAATAATTTTGGTTTAAGGTTTAGCATGGTTTTGGGCTCGTCAGGGCTTTGAGGTTTAGGAAATTTTGGGCTGTAGGGCCTGTTGGGTGTTAGGGTTTGGGGTTTTCAGGTTTAGGTTTTAAGGGGATCAAGGTCGTGCCGAGTGCTACGGTTTCAGGTTCAGGTTCCCTGAGACTTCAGCCCTATCCGATACTGCCAAACCCAAGACCCAAGATGTCAAAGAGTTCGAGGTATAACCCCAGGGATCTAAGGACTCAGACATTAAGGCTTTTGGGCCCAAAGACCATACTACATAAGGCGTTCGGGCTATTTTGATCCCTAGGGTAAGGTTTCTGAGTCAGAAACCTGATACCTCGAGCTCTTTGACTTCTTGGGTCTTGGGTTTGCTGAGCCTGAGCCAGCCCGAGATCAAAGAAGCTTTTGGAGCAGGATGTAAGTTCTGAGGTTGAATTCGGTTTTGGGGTTTGGGATTTCAAGAAGGTTGCAGACTTCGGCTTCGGGATAGAAGGTCTGCTTCTGTGCAAAGACTCTACCTTTTTGGGGCTCTCTTCTTATGACGATCAGAAAGGTGGATTTCTTGTGCTCTCGGGTCACAGTTTTTCGTAGCCTAAGTGTTGTAAGGTGTTGTAGTTCTGGATTTATAGGATTTAGAGCTGGGGCTGGGGTTTTGCATGGCAGGGATGCATTCGATTTAGGGGGCTAATGGCTTGGATACCGACAAAATCTCCCGAGCTCCAAAAACTTGAGACCCCTGGCATATGAACCCGTCCCGAAATCCCAACTTCCTGAATCCGAAGCCCTCTTTCTAATAAACGACGAAATCAACAAACTCCCAACCCTGAAATCCCTAGACCCGACACCCTGAGATCCCTAAACCCGAAACCCTGAGATCCCTAAACCACTGAAATCCCATGGAATCCCTAGACCCTTTACCCCCAGATCTCTAAACCCCAAAACTTTCAGATCCCCAAACCCCGAAATCCCTACACCCTAACCGCCCTAAACCCTAGGTACTGGCCCCATACAGTAAGAGTCTATAATAGGGCTACTAATCAGGTCTTAATATATCGATATTATGAAAATTATTCAACTATTACGGAGTGGGGGCCGTACCCAAACTAAACCCTAAACCTTAAACCCCTAATTCCCCGAAACCCCTAACCCCTAACCCCTGAACCCTAAACCCCTAACCCCTAAACCCTAAACCCCTAACCCCTAAACCCCTAACCCCTAAAACCCTAAACCCGAAACCCCTAATTCCCCTAAACCCCTAAACCCCTAAACCCCTAACCCCTAAACCCTAAACCCCTAACCCCTAAACCCCTGAACCCGAAACCCCTAATTCCCCTAAACCCCTAAACCCCTAAACCCTAAACCCCTAACCCCTAAACCCCTAAACCCCTAAACCCCTAAACCCCTAAACCCTAAACCCCTAATTCCCCTAAACCCCTAAACCCTAAACCCCTAAACCCCTAAACCCCTAATTCCCCTAAACCCCTAAACCCCTAAACCCTAACCCCTAATTCCCCTAAACCCCTAAACCCCTAAACCACTAACCCCTAAACCCTAAACCCCTAAACCCCTAAACCCCTAAAACCCTAAACCCCTAAACCCCTAATTCCCCTAAACCCCTAATTCCCCCAAACCCCTAAACCCTAAACCCTAAACCCCTAAACCCCTAAACCCCTAATTCCCCTAAACCCCTAATTCCCCCAAACCCCTAAACCCTAAACCCCTAAACCCCTAAAACCCTAAACCCCTAAACCCTAAACCCTAAACCCCTAAAAACCGGTCCTTGGGGTCAGAGGTTAGTTCGATCGTCTCCTCCTCATTCAGCGCGCTCATCGCCTTGAAGAAAGCTTGGAGGGTCGGGGGACTTAGCAAGTAGTTATTTTAGGGACTTATAAGTACCATGACCCCAATTAGGGTCCCTTTTCGGGTACTTATAAGTCTAGTTACTACCTACTTACTAAATCCCCCGACCCTCCAAGTAGGGTTCCGAGTACCGGAGCCTCAACAATTACAACAGCGGTGTTGCGGTATATTGTACTTTATAAGTACATGCACACATCTATATATATATATAATCAAAAAGCATATAAGTATACAAATATATGTATATCATAGCGACTATCCTCTCTTCCTCGACTCCGAATTTTACACCTGCCAAGAAGAGCACCCCCCTCGACCCCACCCCAAAAGCCCAAATGCCCTAAACCTTCAACCCTAAACTGAACTCTATTCACTGACCCCAAAGAGTAAGCAACGTCTGAAGAGTTAGCCCTAAACCCTGAACCTTCTACCCTTAACTGGATTCTTGACACTGGCCCAAAGAGTAAGCAACGTCTGATGCCAAACCAGGAGCCCCTAAACCCTAAACCCAAAACCTTTAGGGTTTAGGGGGGTTTAGGGTTTAGGGTTTAAGGTTTCGGGTTTAGGGTTTAGGGTTCTGGGACGAAGCATTGGTCTGCCTTTGGCCCCACAGTGTACAGGCCTTGTAACCCCCAAAAGGAAGGGTACATATGAGAAGCTGCCCCCACCCTGTAATAGTGACTGTAAGGATTATATTAATATAATATTAGGGCCCTATTACATTCCTATTATACCACTATTACAGGGTGGGGGCAGCTTCTAACCCTAAACCCCATACTTAAACCCTGGTCAACGACGCAACGACACTTGGGCCCTCCGGGCACCCTTCAAAACACCCTCCATTAAGTAAGCTTGAACAGTTCCTTCCTTTGTATAAAGCCTTTTTAGTTTAGAAGTTGCAGCGTTCTTTTTTGGCTGGAGCGAAATCGCAGAGCAGTGTTTGCAAGACGCTGGCCGGGGAGTCGTCAACGCACGGTCTCTTGCTGGCTTCGGACATGTAAAATGTAAGGGGTGGCTGGGTATACCCATAGGCCCCAAAGTAGTTCCTTTTTTGGGGTTCATTCTTAGAATCCTATAAGGTATTCTTAAACAGGAACTACTTTGGGGCCTATGGGTAGTTGTGTTTTGGGCTCAAGTTATATGAGTTGAGTGGTTTAGGGACTTGGTGACGCTCCGTTAGCGGTGCATCAAGCTACATTGGCGTGGCGGTACAATAATCCCAATGCCCTGAGGATGTCATTGGGACCAGAAACGACACTATACAAGGCTTTTGGGTCGTTTTGAAACATAGGGTACCGCACGGCCTCAAAGGGGAGTTAGGACTATAAGGCAGTAGTGTTACTAATCATTTAGGACCATAAGGGAGTAAGATTACCCTGAGACTCAACATAGGGGCCTCAACAATTAGAATAGGGCTTTGGGGGTCCACTATACTAAAATTTATAGTGAGGAACCCCCAAAATAGTATAGGTAATTGTTATAATTAAGGCCCCTGTATTAAGCTTTTACATTCAGAGACCCTGGGTTCGACATCTGCCCGCACTCAACGCTTGGATATATACATCGCTGTGGTGTATAAAGCCTCCAGAGGCTCTGGCGAATGTTTCTGAAGGTGACGGCGACGAGGTCACGGAGGGCACATATAATATGAAAAATATGCATATATATATATATATATGTGTGTATTGATTGGTTTAAATCAGCATTTACATATCTATACAAACATGTACATATGCGTATTAACATACATATATATATGTATATATACATATACATATATATATATATATATATATACACATACAGATGGACTTATTCTTAAAATCTTTGGTTGGAAGATTCTTTTGCCATGTCGGGTTCCTGCTGTCGCCCTCGTAGTTGGACCCCGTGTGCTTCAACGATGCAACTACTCCGGAGGCGTCAGATTGGCGGCTTCGGGGCACTCTTTGACGAGGTCCTGGCTAGGGCTTATGGTTTTTAGGGGTTTAGGGTTTCCTGAACTCTGGGGTGTATAGGGTTCGGGACTCCCCCAATACCCCTAATAGAGCCCCTATGGCCCCGAATAGTGGTGTATATTGGGGGCAGTTGGGTGGGTCTGGGTAAACTCTACTAAATCATAAACCCCAACACCCTGCCCAAAAAACGAAAACTTGTTCATAGGGGCTCGGGGTCCCGGCATGTCTTTCCTATAGGCTCCGTTGTAGTTCCGATCTGGGAGTACCTTATATAGGATCCTAAAAATGAACGACAAAAAGGAACTACAATGGAGCCTGTAGGTATAATATACTATAGTTTTAGGAATTGCATCGCCATATAAAAGTCCTTTAAAACCCTGAACCCTGCGACACCTGTTTCTTCGACAAACACTATAAGGACCCATTGTTGATATCATGAAAGTCCATTTACACCCCTCCCCCCCGCAAAACAAAGCAGAAAACAAACAATAGGCGTTCGGGCTTCACGTCCAAAGCTTCTCGTAAGCCCTGAACCGAAAAATAACTGCAAGGTTTAGGGTTCAGGTCTTGAATCCAAGAGATTGTTGTCCTCGAGGAACTGCGCGACCAGCTCGACATTGCTGTTCGTCGTGCGCCACGTGCCATCGCCCTCCGAACTTTCGACTGAGGACTCGGCTTCCGGCTGTAGGCTTAGTAGTACCTGTGGATCCAAAAACCTATCGTTTTAGGGGTTAGACCCTATAATTCAAGGGTAATAACCTACTATTCTATAGGGTTTGGGGTCACAGGTAGGCTTTGGTAATTAGTTTTTTTTGTTTGAGAGCTCTTTTCCGTCGGCACGCAGATACGGCCTACGGAAGCCTACGGGTAATTAGAGTTGAGGCTTTATAGGGTTTAGGTTTAGGCTTTCTGGTTAAGGGTAGTAGGATCAGGGTTCAGGGTTTGGGGCTTGGGGGCAGGATCAGGGTTTGGGGTTTAGGGGTTGGGGGTGTCGCGAAAACTCCCAGAAGGCTTCAGGCAGTCCCTCTTCTAGGACTTGCGTATTAAGACTCGCAACTTTGCGACTCATGAAAGGAACTTCAAAACTTGTAAATAAGAGCTGCTTGCTTTTACTTTTTATTCAGAACTGAAGCTGCAAAGTACCCCCGGGAATCTCTCCAATGCCGTGCAGATAGAAACTTCTTGGTTCCGGGCTGAGGACTTCAGGACTTCAGGGAAGTAGAGGCTTTAAGTTGTGGGCTTCAAGACTTTGTAATTAGTGGGGACTTCAGGGCATGGGGCTGTGGTGTTGGTATATATGTATTATACTTGGAGGCCTCGTGCTGCTGAATTCCTTGAAGCAGAAGTACGTCGACTTCTGTGTTTGATCTTGACAAACTGGCTCCAGCTGTTGCCTATGTCTGCTTCGGGACCCACCTGAGACCTGTAGCCCAATCAACCAGAATCTCTAGTCTCAGAGACTACGAACTAGTAGGATGTGGCAGGGATGAGGGATGAGGGCGACCACTGCTATTCCACAGAGCTTGCCTGATAGGAGAAGTAGAGCGCACCAGTCACCGGCGAGGCGTACCAAATCTGGCAAAGGCAACTTTGGGGAGACTCTTTCGTCCTGCTGGTTACAAGTTGTAGCACGTGGATTTATTCGGAGGCTCAATGGACTTGGCATGCAGGCTTCAAGCAGGTCTACGTGCATTTGGACACCTCGCACAATTAGCAACAGTACTCCGCAAGCCAGTATATATATATATATATATACATATATATATATATATACATATATATATATATACACATGTAGATATACACATATATGAATGTATGTATATATAGCTCACCATCACCACCGCCACCGCCATCACCACCACCACCACCGCCGCCGCCACCACCACCACCACCACCACCCCCGCCGCCGCCGCCACCGCCACCACCGCCACCACCGCCACCACCGCCACCACCGCCACCACCGCCACCACCGCCACCACCGCCACCACCGCCACCACCGCCACCACCGCCACCACCGCCACCACCACCCCACCACCACCACCACCACCACACCACCACCACCACCACCCACCACCACCACCACCACCACCACCACCACCACCACCACCACCACCACCACCACCACCACCACCACCACCACCACCACCACCACCACCACCACCACCACCCACCACCACCACCACCACCACCACCACCACCACCACCACCACCACCACCACCACCACCACCACCACCACCACCACCACCACCACCACCACCACCCCAGACACACACACAGAAAAAACAATCGCCAGCGTAGATGCCCCAACAGTAATCAAGAACCACGACGACCATGACGACATGACGACCACGACCACAACAACCAAAACGAACGGCCCCCAAGTACTGACGGGATGCAGGAGCAGGGCCAAAATGCTTTCCAGCAACGCCTTCACAGATTTCGAAACCAAAAACGTGCTAAATGTACTGAATTTACACTGAATTTGGCCGTCCAGGGGATGCGGGCGCAAGGATCCTGTATGAGAAAAACCTTTGGCTTCATGTAGCCTGGCCTTAAGCCACTGGAATGTATCGCAACCCGACCAAGCCCTACATGTTGAGGGCTCCATAAAACCTCTTATAGTGAATGCTTGTACAGTATTGATTAGGTACGGCCCCCATACAGGAAGAGTCTATAATAGGGCTACTATGAAGGTCCTAATATATCTATATAAGGAATATTATTCAACTATTGCCGAGTGGGGGCCGTACCCAAAGTATTTATTATGTGCCTGGAGAGATAGGCTTTTGGCGGTTCAGGTACCTCCTGCTTTCGAAGGGTTCAAATGCCCGTAGGCCTGCTTGTCTTCTTTCCCGGGAACCTCGTTCATGGTTGGGATAGTATCTGGTTGGGGTAGTATTGAACATTTCAATGTCTATTCCTTGTTGGGATTAAGTATCCACGGAATTCAAAATGTTTTGCCCAACTATGACAAAGGAACTTTGTCTGAAATGCATAGTGCCGCACGAGACTACTTG